CAAGTTTTTGAGCAGTGCATAGCTGATGCCATCAGGGCCACTTGCTTCTGAGGCAGTTTGGCAAACTTCTTCATGACCTCATGAGGGTCAATGTCCTCCCAAGTTCTCGCCTGCACAATTCCTTCCCAGCGTAGGCGCTCTCGCTCACCACTAGTGCGGGGCTGTGGAATGACCTGCCACCTGCCATACCACTGCTGTTCTCGTAGCTGCTGCCTATCTTGAAAGGGAACATTCCTGAAAGGCCTCACATGTACAGCATCAGGCGCCTTGAGACATTTGTAGATGCCACTGTGTCCCCGGAGACTGGCCTGTGACAGCCAGGCTTGATAGTCCTGAGATTGCCGCTGCATGGCAGTTTTCTTGGCATAGTCCTGATTTGCTTCAGCACCTTTAATGAGCAGCGTCAACGGCCTGGATCTGTCTGAGAGGAGATCTTCTAAAGCTTCTTTGAAGGCAGTATCCCCATGCACATTTTGCCACCGCAGGTCGAGGTCAGCTGCCTTGGCCTTCAGGCGCATCATGACAGTAGGCCCAATGCTCCCCCGTTGCTCAATGTGACATAGCAGAGAGCAAAACTGCCCCCAATACGCCAGGTCTCCTTTGCGCCAGGGTGTGAGTGCTCTAGTAGTGGGGAGTGGCTTCAACTCAAGGGCCAGGTAAGATCCTCTACCAAATTTTGGCTCATGCAGGTGCTGTAGTGCATATTGTTCAGCCCGGTGACACCATTCTGCACAACGCGTCTCTTTTGGGCCAATTGTGCGCCCAAGCCAATATGGCTTTGTGACAGTGTCAAAATCCTCCCATTGCTTCGAGCTGCTCTGCAGCTTTGGGACTGCTGCATACTGAGTGACTTGCGGTAGGTGCAGGCTAGGGGCCGTGCTGTCAATGGTCACCACCAAGCCCGCATGTGGCCGCCAAGGAACATCCCAGTTCAGCTTGATGTCCACAAAAGGAGAGACAGTTCGGCTGGCAAGTACATAATCGATTTCTCCCCCTGTGATCAAGGTCGGCTGCCCTGTATGGATCACCTCTGCTTTCAAGACATTCAGCAGCTGATGTCCCTGCCATTGCTCTGGTGGGACTTGGAAGTCTCCAATGACCAGCCAGGGAACTGCTAGTTCACCCAGGAAAGCAGCCAACTCCCCCAGGATTTTGGCATTTGTCGCGGAGTTCAGATCTTCCCCACACTTGAGGTAGATCGATACGAGAACGACCTCCCATTTTTGCCTCTGAAGGACATTGGCAAGGAAACCATTGCCATCCTGGTCAAACTGGTCGATTCTGTAGGTGGCCTGTCCTTCACGGGCACAGAAAAATTGACCTCCACTGGTTCCACCACGCCCCGTTTCATGTGCATCCAGCTGCTCCATGCGCCATCTGCTTCTTGCCATCTCACTGGCTGCCGCCTCCAGCTTTTTTCCCACAACATGAGTTTCAACCAGCATAGCAATTTGTATGTCTTGTTGATTCAGCCACTCTTTGACTTCTTTGTTCCACTGGGTGACATTGCCATAGAAGACCTCAATGTTACCGGCATAGGTTCTTTGCCGTTTGGCTGGTGGCTCAAAACTGCCAATCCTTTGCGTCCAGAAGGAGTTTTGTTCAGCTCTTGATGCCCAAATCATGACTGCTCCTCGCTGGATGCTGTCTGGCACGGTCTTTTGCACTTGGGGACATTCTCCATCATCAACCAACCACATGGCTTCCCCATCAACCAGCATGGCAATGTAGTTGCCAGACATGAGGTGTTCTCCTTGATGGGCTATTATGCCCCTCAACACAAAGGTGGCGTGCCCCGCATGTCCAGTCAAAGTCTTCTGGGGAACTTGGAAGCTGGTTGGCGTACGCAATCGATTATGGTGCTTGACCCATTCTTTGGTAGTGGGTGTCCAGTAGTACCTGCCAACATGAAACACAATGTGCTCGACATTGTTGGCAAGGCATTGTCCATTTCCTTCATTTGCCCAGTCAGCTAGAATCTGCTCAAAGTTTGCACCATCGCCAGCTTCTACCGGCATTCGTACAAACAGCGGGATCGTGTCAAACTCATGGTCACGACCGCCGAAATGGGCATGCCAATTGCCTTGCAAACCTGTTTGGCCCCACAGCTCCCATAAATGCACCAGAAATTCAAATGCATCATGCTGATTTTGCGGATTCTCCAGCCTTGCAATGGCTGGTTGAAGTTCGGAAGCCCAGAAGATATCTTCAATGACATCTTGTTGCAGCATTTGTAAACAAAGCTTGGTTGAAGGGCCCCAAAACTCCTTGGGATTCTGATGATGCGCTCCCATCCAACACCATAACCTGAGAACAGTGTTGGCGTAGCACCGGTTGCCCCGGTTGCCAATGTTCAAGGTCAAGTTGGCTGCCATCAGTTCATTTGCTGGAGGGGCCTCCGGTTCATGGAAGACCGGCCTCGTCAGCGGCAGGCTGTCTTGCAAAGCCATTCTCATCTTGAGAACATGCTTCAGGGCCTCAAGCCCCCAGATTCTGGTCTCCACTTGACCGAAGGCATTGTCATCTCTGCGCTGAGCTGGTAATGCTTGGATTGCTTCAGCGGCTTTTTGTTGAAGCACCATCAACCTGTCTTGCAAGTGTCCAGGTGTAGTCTGTTCAGGAGGGCTTTGTTCATCCTCCCAGATAGAGGTAGGCGAAGCTCCTCTCTTGCCCCCGCCTAGGAGGGCGCATTGTTCCTTGCTGTCTGGGCCTTTGAGGGTTGGCCAGGTCCCGGATGAAGCAGGTCTAGGCGTACCTAGCCGCTCAGAGCTCGTCCAGCCCGGTGCCCAGCTTTCCTCGTGGCTCCAGTTGCTTTTATTGTCCATGCACTCTGCCGTCGGCGTCCCTGGCATGCTATCCTCCAATTTCCCTGGATCAGAGGTGTTGCCAAGGGAGCTATCCTTCGGATGAGGTGAAGCATCATTCACCTCTTGCAATTCAAGCTTGTCAGCAGCCCTTCCGTGAGCCGCTTCTCCATGCGCAGCTTCCATGCCGGTGAAAGAGCCACTGTGCAGGGAAAAAGCTTGTGCGTTGTCTGTATCAACACCATATTCAATGTAATGCCAATTCTGCGCTTCAAATGCATTGAAAGGTGTGTCAAAATACCACTCATGACCAACATACGGATGCCAGCCTGAAGATTGATCCAAATCATGCAGAACGTCTCTGCGCAAAACATGATTGCTGCGCTCACAACTGCTGCATGCATGCTCTGAAGAAACCCCACACGAGGGCATGCTGCTTTGCAGAAACCACACATTCAAACACTCCCTTTCGTTTGACTGTGAAAACCCCTTGTATTTCCCATGCATTGCCTCTGCAGGTAACCTTGACAGCTCCGACCCCAAATCTGAAAGCTGCCCAAGGCTGCTGCTTTTCTCCCCATCAGCATGGATTGGCCCCTGCCACTTGGCAGGGTTACCCCGACAACTGAGTGTCACCTTTCTTGCGGCGCTTTAGCATGTTCTCTGCCAATTGCCGCTCTAGCTCAGTCTTCTGAGAGTCGGTGAACAAAATGCCCACTTGAGCCATGGCCTTCATGACGTGATCATTGACGTCTGCATCCACCAATGACTCTGGGGCTTCCTCCTCTTTGGTTTCTTCTTTCAACAGCTTGGCATAAGCTGCTGATTGGGCTGTCAGCTGTTGCTGTTCCTTGTCGATCATCTCCTGAACCACCTTCAACTCATCCAGGAGTGTCTTGTACTGCTCCTTTGCATTGTCCACCCTTTTCTGGAGCCCCGCCTTCTTGTTGGGCAATTGTCTCAGCTCCCCAACGGTGGTCTTCAATTGCGTCGTGACGTCCTTGGGTTCCTGCTTCGCTGGCGCAATCAGGGTCTCAACCGCATCTTTGACCTCTTTGGGAAGTGCTTCAATGTGAGTCTTCAAGATCTCTTCAAGGGGCTGGAGCTCTGGTTCAGGGGCGCAATCTATACCCACAGCCTTCAGGGCATCCTGGACCTCTTTGCTCAAGCTTGTCCATTCTTTCTGAAGGGCCTTCTCCACTCCGGAGGAGCGCGGCCGGCGCCCCAATCCTGGCGGCTTTTCCAGGAGGACCGTTCTGTCACGGCGCGGTCGAGCTCGACTTTGGGATACATGAGCCGTCTCCTGTCGCCAGGCCATTTGTGGCCATGCCTTGCTGCATTTGTCACATTTCCACCTCTCATCATTGATTCTGTCAGCCCAGATCCATGAGGCTGTGCAGCCTTGGCAGCAGACATAGGTCCGGGGCCTGCGCCTCTTGGGGTATGACCACCCCTCCCATGAAGGTGACACCATCTTCCTCCTCAAGAACAAAGGACTCTTCCGTCTCAATCACGGGCAAAGATGTACGTGACCTTCTTGAAGTCCTTGAAGAAGGGATCACCAAGATCTTTGGCTCCGCAAAGGGTCTAACGTGGTGCCCAGGCTCCACGATCCCAGCTTGAGCCCAAATCTTGAGCCAAAATGGCTGCTTTTTTTCGTTTTGTGTTCTTTCTCTCTCTCTCTCTCTTAGAACCAGAAATAGTAGTGGTGGTAGTAGTAGTGGTGGTGGTAGTAGTAGTAGTAGTAGCAGTGTTAGTAGTAGCAGTAGTGGTGGGTAACAGTAGTGGTAGTAGCAGTAGTGGTGGGTAACAGTAGTGGTAGTAGTAGTAGTAGTAGTAGTAGTCGTCGTCGTCGTCCTCGTCGTCGTAGTGATAGTGATAGTGGTAGTAGTTGGTGTAATGTAAAAACATGAATTTAGCAAGTAAAAGGACGTCACGGCATGCAAGCACGCACAGCGGCTCGGGTCGAAGCAGTTCAAAGGCTTTAATGAATTTCTGTATCAAGCAACTTCCCATGGTATGCACAGCTGCACAGCGACGTTGGGAACCACAAAATCCACTGGCAAAAAGCTATTTGAAAACAAAACCAGGTGAACTCAGTTGAACTTACAGTAAATAGGACCGAGCTAAAACATGAATGCAGCGCCGCAGCAATGCTTAGACTACAAAAAAATGCTGTGATCCTTTTGGTCACGCCTGGCTCTCTGGGAGCGGCTTCATGCTTGCGCGGAGAGCCACACGAGTCTTTGGCTCAACAGTGTTTGCTGGGCCGACAAAGGCAACCGCTCCAATGCCTGCTGTGGCCAGCAAGGACAGAACCTCGGGATTCAATGAAATCCTTTGCAATGTCTCAAAGAGCAAACTGAACAACTGCTCAAGGTCACTCAGGCTGCTTAAAGGCTGCTGAAACAGAAGTATTGTCTGTTAGGCGTCAGGCTGCTGCGCGCATCATCGCCAAGACAGGACTTCTACGCTCCAGAAAGTCGACAAGAGTGCTGCGGCCAAAGTGGACAAGAGCGCTGAATGTTACCAGTGATTTTTATGGGGGTGTGGGCAGCTTGCAACAAGGTGCAGAAAAGAACAATGAAACTATATTATATGTATATATATAATAGATTTTGTTTTTATATTATAAGATAGAGAGTAAAGGTAAGGAATGTCAGTTGCTGTAGCAAGAAACGAATGGGGACGACGCAAGAGGGCGGGTTGTTGGGAGCATCCTTGAAGAACCTGAACCCTTCGCATGAAGAAACCCGGTTCGGTTTTGAGAAACTGACTCCAATGTTTCTCAAAACTACAAGTGACTACAAGTGGTTTATAAGTTTGTGGTTTGTGGTTTTTCACTACAAAGTGTCGTCGTAAGGCGCCCCGCCAAGCTTGGAGAGAGACGCACGGAAGGCCTATCACAGAACAGCATTCTCCTTTTTTGTTGAGCAACCAAACATACTTGTCTTTCAGTAATAGCAGCACATCCACCTTGACCTCATCATCGCCAGCCTTGATTTCTTTCTTCTCACCTGCCGTGTGTTGATCTTGCCGTGCACATTCAAAACAAGGCTGTCTGGGTCCAACAACGGTTTCCGAAAATCAATGTGATCCGCAATCCGCACTCGCTTTTTCACCGCTCAAATATTGTCTCAAGGACAAGATCATGTGCTTCTCAGCAGTCCTGTGCCTTCACATGGTTGCAGAATCACATGTCGCTACTGTCGTCCTGGGGAAGCAGAATTCTTTGCGCCTTTGAAGCTTGTCATTGCACTGAAGAAAATCGCATTCTGGCGCCTTTTCAAACATCCGAGCATCTGGAGCATGGGTTCATGGAGGTGCATCAAAAAGCAATGCCGTAGCGGATTCCTTATACCAAGCAACTCGTGATGCATCTCCATAAAACTCATCCAGTACATGTGCACAAATTACTATAGACTGTGAAGACTGTTGCGCCGACCTAGTCGTATCCCAATTGCCCAGCTCTCTGGACTCGGCTTTGGATCGAAACATGCATAGCCAACATTATGGTCTGAAACCTTCTGTGTCATTTTTTCGGTCGTCAAGCCTCTCTGGAAGGGGACCTTCGGATAAACTGTTTGGGAGATTGACAAATTCCACGAGTGATAGTGGTCATCTGCTGTTCTGTGTGCGTGCTGCCGTGGGATCATGTGTAAAATGCAGCGTAGTATGGAAGCTGCGTTTTTCAAGGAATCTATCATTATAATAGCCAAAACCCTCGATCGTTGTGTATAGAAGTGAAGTTGCGAAGGACATGCCTTGAAGTGTGTACCTTTGAAGCCCTTTTTTGTGATCGAGAAAATCAAGAGCGATTTGATGCTTGGTGGGTTATGAGCCCAAATTTTCGCTCCTAGCTCCGTGGTTTGTTCGCCATGTCGGTGGATTCGGAGAAGACGCCCGATAGCTCACAGAAGGCCTTAGAGGACATTAGGCCGGAGCATGGTGCGTTGGCTAGGCCGGTTGGTCCTCCCACGACTTTGGGGCCAGCCATCAACCCTTTCTGGAGCGAATCCGCCAGGGAAGAAGCGATCTTGAGAGCATGCAGGCCGGCTCACCTGCCTAGCTCGGCCGACGATCCTCCACCACAGGTCTACCAGCAGGCCATGACATCGGTGAGTCCTCAGAGAGACATTCCGGACGCCGTCAAGGCCATGGTCCAGAGTCTGGTTCAAGAGAACTCGAGGTTGTACTTCTACTTCTACTTCTACTACTTCTTGTACTATGAATGCTGTGATTACTACGACTACGATGAGTGCTTGAGCTACTGCTCCTACAACGTCTATCTCAAGTACCATTGCTTTTGCGGATGCTGATCTTTCTGACGTTGCCTTCCTGTTGCTAATGACATTACCATCTTCCTGCCATTGCCATCTACCACTGCTGTCGTTGATAGTGTTGCCATCAATACGTTTTGAAATTACTATGATTCGCTGCCATATTTGTACTACGAATGATATTACTATTCACTAGCCTGTCTAACATGTTTTCTGATCAATTTGGCGGCCAGTAATTCTGATACGCCATGTGTACTTTGAACATATAGGTGGATATTACTTCCAGGCTTCTGTCATAAGCATGGTGGTCGTAACCACAACTGCTTTTACGACTATGACTGCTACCACTACTCCTCCTACAGCACGTGCCAATGCTGTTTTTGCTGCTACTGCTGTTTCCACTGCTACTCAAGCTGCTACTCAGGCTGCTACTGTTGCTCCTACTGCAGCTGCTACTGCTACTGCTGCTTCTGCTCTTAATGCCGCTGCTACTGCTGATATTGCTGCGACTACTACTGACAACGAATGATGATGACGACAACTGCTACTACAATGCTACTACTACGACCCGCTGCCGTTGCTGTTCTTGCTGCTGTGGCGATTCTTCTTCCTCTTATCACTGCTGCTACTCCGTCCTGGAACAGGCCAGTTTGGAGATTCCAAGGCTGGTTCGTGCCGATGTACAGATTCGACCTGGGGCGGTGCAGATAGTTCAAAAGCCCTGTTCCACGACATTTTCCATCAAAACCAGCCCACGTGCCCCCCAACAACCACCATTGATCCACAGCCTGATCTCACCACCCGAAAATAAGCAAAGCCCACCTCATAGAAAATGCTACCCTCCACCCCCACCCTAGGATAACATCTATCTTAAGATCTCAGCCCCAATAATACTAGGATAATCCACCGCAAGATCCCAAGTTACCATCCTAGGAGTAATACTTACTTCTATCTAGGTGCCATACGCCTAAAAGGCGAGGGGTTTAGGCGGTTCAGGATTGCAAGCAGTTCCCGATCACTTTTCACAGGAAGCGTAGCAACTAGGGCTTTGTGTCCCAGTCGACGACGTATTGGCTTACGCCCACAGGAGATGTGCCCTCGATCCACTCACCTTCCACATTCTGCGTGACGCTGTAATTGGACGCAATTCCTTTCGGCGCAATGATGACCCAGCTGATATCTGAAACCATGTCCAGTTGCAGGAAAGCATTCTTTATGAAATTATGCATCGGCCCAATTTTGCACTTGTGCTCTTTTTCGTTCTTTGTCACCTGCAACAACCAAAGTCTGTATGTAATTGGTGCAGACGTCTTCTCCGCAGTGGCAAAAAAAGCATCTGCTGCTGGGAAAGTCTTCGAGATCGGGATATACAACTGATTTGTACTCAGTTGCAGCTTGCCAAGCGGCGACGCACCTTTCGTCTGCATCATCAACCTGTGGTTTGGAACCTCACACTCCACTCCCTTCTCCCCCTTAGTCGAAGCTAGCGGTCTGCATTGAAGCTTCAATGCTTTCTCAACATCCGTTGTCAAGCGCCCCATCACCAGGCGCTGAAAGACATTTCCAACCAAGATGCTTAGCTCCTTCATGTGAAGAAACTTGTCGACGAAACAGCGTTGGTGTTCTGCACTTGTGATCTGGAGTTTGTTGCAGATTTCTTCCCTGGCAGCCTCCGAATCAATAAGTTGCACACTGGGTATGCTGAACGTGTCAGAATGGTTTGCATCAATTTGCAGTAAAGCACTTGCCAGGCTCTCCTTCGTGTCTGCCTTGCCACTGGGAACAGCCTGTCGCACCAACTTCTCCAACGATTCGAAAGTGTCCAAGTCATGGATGCACTCACGTATCAGCTCTCGGGCGGCTTCATCTGGCTTCTTGCCCTCTCCTACAAGCTTGAAAAAGCGCCTCAACCATCGCACACTTCCACCAAGAAGATCATGGGCATTCTGCACATCTTCCTGACTCTGACCTTTGAACAGAGTCGAGTGGTGCTTCTCAAGTTCGCTTTTCGACCAGATTGGCTGGTACAGGCGCGTCGCATGTTCTGCAGACTGACTGAAGGCGCTGTGGTAGGGCTTCATGCGCAAAGAGATGAACACAATCGTGCATCCTCGTGCTCGATGCTTCACATCATCTGTGGTCTTGCCGCCAACGGGATCTATCAGCAGGACGGTCGAGGACTTCTGCAGCATCTGCGGCTCTTCCTTGTGTTTGACAGTCTTCTGATTTGGTCCGGCTTGGCGTGAATACCATGTGTAGTTCCTGCGAATGACGAGATCATACTCATCGGCCAAGTACACAGCTATATAGCCCAACAGCACTGATTTGCCCATGCCTGGAGTGCCAGTAATGACAAACAACCCTCGCGGAGTTTCCAATTCAAACTTTTTTCCCAACCACTTTGTGAGTATTGCACATATCTGCACATAGCAAGCGCGCAAAACGAGGCCCTTTTGCATGTAGCCATCGCCCAGAATGTCTGCGTTGAAGCTGTATACAGAGTTGGCCTCCCAGGATTTGGGTTTCTGTCCAAGTGCCTCCTCCATCCACTGGCAAAGTGAATCTTCATCCTGAAAGGATTCAGCCTCGTGTGCCATGAACTCGGCCCCCCAACCCAACAACTAAACTCAACCCACCAGCCTAGGACTAAAACAAAAAAACACCCAACCCCCTAAACCCGACTAAGCAACCCAATCAACTAACCCTATCGGGTAACCCTACGAGGAAACCAAACCTAGGCGGGATAAACCACTACGCTACAACCAAAGAGCCAACCCCTAAACCCAATAAGTAAGGTAATCAACTAAGCCTATCGGGAAAGTCTATGAGCAAAACGGGAAAGATTGCAAGGCCTGCTGCCATAGAACAAAAACTTGCCAGTTAAAGGGTAGGTGCTTGGGGGATGAAATCTTGAATCCGGCTGTGCAGCGTTCCAACCACTATCGACCGTATTGTGTCATCTTCAATTATCTTCTGCAAATACGACGACAACCCTTCCCGGGAGTCTTTGCTCAGGACATCATCGGGAACCTTCATCAATGTTGCTGCCACAGCCTTCTTCTCGTCAATGCTGACGCTCAAGTCGTCGAGACGTGACAGCAGCCACGCATATGTAAGCTTCCGCCGCTTTGCCGTGCTGGTGCTGGTGCTGGATCGGCGTTTCGTTTTGCGGGCGCTGCTGCCGTGCTGG